GAGGGGTCGTTTCAGAGGGCATCGGGCTTGAAGTATATGTAGAGCAGTGGGTACACGACTCTTAGGCTTGAGGCGGTGGAAGTAATGGTAATTTGACGGCCTTGGAAGTTGAGGCAACTCAACACTCACGTTGAATTTACCACTAGTTGACCAAACACTACTTTAGGGTCGGCGGGCAAAATGCGTATCCTAGTCGGCCTGGCTTTTCATGCGATGGAGGAAATACAACCCCAATATCATTGTTGCATCTATCGTTAACCCGTCAGTGGTAGAATTCTGAAATACCAGTTTTAGTCCTAGGAGGCCTCGCTATCATTCCAACTGACGGTGCAAGTATCACACCATTGCTTCTATCGCTACGACAGTGATAAATCAATCTGTAGTAGTGATTATTCGCCCTAAGTGATCCCAAGGTATTAGGGTCATTGGCTCTAGGAGCCTCAATGACCGCTCGATTAGTATGATTTCAGTATGACCACTTGCATAACCTGAGGTTAAACTAACCCATCGGGTCGCGTGGGGGCCCGAAAAAATGCAAGAATGGTTCGGTTGGACAAAAGAATGCCAAACACCCGAAACAAATCAAGAGACAGATAATAGTGTTCAAAATCAACAAAATACATTCTTTTTTTATTATCTCTGTTACACTTTTCACTCACCAGGCGTACAATAATAAGGAACTAGCAGCAACTACCATGGTTATGATAACAAAAGCCTTGTGAGCGCAGGTTTATCCCCACACTTGGGGATGGACATCTCATGAAGCGAAGAAATTGGTGAAAGGCGTATCTAAACCTTCACTGCGCCTCTAGATCTTTGCCACGAGCAGGAACGATGCCCGAAAGAAGCCTAGGGAAGAACCACCTCACGAAACTTCCTCTAACGTCTGAAAGGATGAGGAGCCCCACAAGGAGCCCTGCCCACACCGCCTTCTTCAACGTTGGGGAGGAACGCTTGGCGAAGAGTCAAGGTTCCAAGCCACCGAATCGATACGCAAGGGGTTCCAGGTCAAAATCTATGGGCTCAAAGGCTTCCCTACAATAGCAAGCTATAGGACACATTTGCCCTCTAAGATTTCCTTTAGATATTCTCACCTGGAGACCCCAAGCACGCAGACCATGTACGAGTCCAGCCGATGATCTGGGCCACCGATGGTATTGTTTCTTCCCATCTTTGTGGAACTTCCTCTAACACCGAAGATGAACGGCCATCAGCAGGCCGCTGCAGAACCCAATCTTGAAAGCTTTCAGCAGCGGTGGAGTCACTGAGATGTGCCATAAACCATGGTGCATGAAAGGGGTTGCCACTCTCTCACTTAGTCAAATGCTAAGGGATTTGGGGGAGGGGTGAGACTCAGCAGCCTCCCTCCCCTCGGCTTAAATAAGCGCCCTAAAGATGGTAGTGGGAGAGATGGTGGTTGGCATTAAAGCCAGTCGCAATCATCCAGATGGTTCCATGAATAAAAGCATGGGAAGTGGAGCAGTTTAGGTTCCCAGGCACCACGATCCTTATTTTCAACAGATTCAATGACGCACAGTAGTCATCCGTGCATTCAAACCAGGGGAAGAACTCCACCCGCAACTCTCGAAACCCAAGAAGGCATCACTGCCAATGAGCACAATGCTCAAAGTCGTCCTGATACTCAGGACCTGTTGATTGTATTCAAAACACCTCGACACCCGAGGAATGCTCATCGGGGCCTACAGCACCCAAAGGTTGCAGGGATCTACTACACATAAAGGATTACGTAACTTTACAAGCTTGTCATTAAATCCTACAGGGGCTACTGTCGGATATATGGGCCTGGGGTACCCTCACCAACCATATATCTGGCCCGTTGAGTGGAGGACGTCAAAGGATGTAGCCTACGAAGACCAGGCAAATCTACCAGATTGAAGATCATGAAAGATCGAGCATATCCGGCGCCATCATGTCAATGGTAGGATAGAATTGATCTGTTGTGAAAAAACTAGGAATCCAATCTGCTAAGCCAATCGCCCTCATTGAAACCCTACCCTCTCTACCTATATAAAGGAGGGTAGGGATCTCACGAACGGGATCTGATCCATCTCATTCCAATCTACTACGTAGCTAGGAGCAACAACCCTTGTAACTGGGCATACGAATACAAGAAGAGCAACAGCACCAACTGGACTAGGGTTTTATGCGCCACCGTGGCCTGAACTAGTATAAATCCTTCTATCTCATGTGTTACCATCTGATTCCTCTTACACTATCACATTGCTAGGCATTGTCAGAGCTCAATCATCTGACACCATGTCTCCTAATCTTCTCCACCTAGCCACATGACACCATGTCATGTCTCATATGCAATGAGCTCCTTTATCATAACTAGTTCACCACTATCAACATGAACAAGCCACTTCTCCACTATGGCTTTAAGTGTTGCTCACACTAGTGTACCTGTGCACTAATCCCTGTGTATCTCACAATATGAACACATGTTAGTCCACCTAGGTTGCCACTCAATTACCAAAATCAAACTAGGGTCTTTCAGTGAGCACCGGACGTCCACACCAGATGCCCCCAATGGATAGTTTCCAACGGCTATAAAACTAGTCATTTGGCTTGTCAGACGTCCGGTGTGTGATACATTCAGTGTGTGTAAGTGCTCGAGGTATCCCAAAACATAGCCATTGGAACCCTAGTCCGGTGCGACATCCGGTGCCTTCACCAAATACGTCCGGTGAGGACTTTTAAACTATGCGCGCTCGGCTAGAACCATTGTTCACATCCAGTGCGTACACATCTGGTGCACACAGGACTCCTCTATGCTTTGCTAAAAAACTGGCTAAATCTAGGCGCCAGCCGGCGCATCCAGTGCCATGTCCGGTGGTCCACCAAACACGTCCGGTGCCTGCTAAACAGCAGCACCGGTAGCACTCTCAACTCTTTCGCAAATGTGCCAACTCTCAAATGTTTTGCTAAACATGTTAGACGAGAGATAGCATTTTTTCAAAGTGTTTTCACAAACATTTTTGGCTTGCTCTCCAACATGTCACTTAGGCCTAAATGCAAATGCATAGATCAAACACCTAGTGGCACTAGATGACCAAAGATTGCTAATTAGAGCTCCCTCTAAATAGTACAACATCTATCCTAAACCCGAGCACACACTCTATTGCGTCTTGACTGGCAAAATAAAATCCCTATTTATACCTTTGCCTTCACAACTTGTATTTTGTTTTTTTTCTTTCTTCTTTATCAAGTGAGAGACTACTCCAATTGGATTGATCACCCTTCATCCATCTCCAAGTCTTGCTCTCTATCTTGGTGTTGACCTAACCTAGCTTAATAAACACTTAGCAAAAGGTTAGTCCACTACTTGTCTAATTACTAAAACAAAACATAGGGCTTTCACCCTAGCAAAAAACCTAGGGCTAGCAAGAAGGGCTATGGTTTCCCCACCACACGCGTGGGCATGCAGTGGCACTTGACTATTCACTGTCAGGTGTGCACTGATCCGGTAGTGGTGTCATAAGTGCCATTATCGCATCATGGCCTAAACCGGCAGTAACACTCACCATATCACTGACGGTTGATGATCCAATCTGGCAGTGATAATCATTAATATCACTATCGCTTTCTTCTCTAACCCGACAGTGTTGTGCCTGTAGCACTTTTGTTTTTATTTGACAATTAGTGTTCAATCATGGACTAGTTAGACTCAAAACGTTCGTCTCGCAATTTCCAACCAAACTGTGCAATTAGTTTTTTTTCGTCTACATTTAATGCTCCATGCACATATCATAAGATTCAATGTGATGGATACTGTAGTATTTTTTGGAAAAACTTTTCACGAACTAAACAAGGGCTATATGAATCTATGCTAGAACACTGGTTTTCGATTAGTGGCTGGCTGGCGGATGACCACCAGCGGCTACAGCAGAGGCGCAAAGCACTGCACGTTGGACAGCTCACCGGCACCGTGGGTCTAGGCTGTCCATGTAGCAAACAAGCAAAACGGTTGAAAAAGAGCACAATGCACACCCCCCCTCGTGGGCTCCACCCCTACCCGATTCGTATGCACGAAAGGAAGGCTTGCCCTACAACACCATGCACGTGGAAAGCCGCTAACGTCACTACAGCTAGTACAACAAGCCCCGTTTGTTTCCGCTTATAAGTGGCTTGTCGGTGGAAATAAACGAGAATTCCACTAAACGCTTCGCTTATTTCCATCGATTCTCGCTTATGTGGTAAGCCGCTTCAGATATTTAAACCACAGGAAGTGAAAAGCGAGAAGCGAGAAAATCTTCGCTTAGATTATAATCAAGTGTGTACAGGAGAAGTGGAAACAACCGGGCCCAATAGCAGACCTCTCTGGTTCGCCGCTTTCCATTTCTCATGGGCTCACACATCTCCAGCTGCCTCTGCCCAAATTAATAAATCTGATTTCCAGGCCGCATCACCAATTAAACCGGCCGTAGAGCCACCAACCTTCCATTTCGGACCTCCGATCGAACCAGTCGCGTGAGCGATAAAAAGCTGCCCCCATTCCTGATTCCATACGCCCATAGTATAGCTAGTACTCACCCGGTGCCACCTCCATCTCTAAAGGTTCGCTAGGTTCGTGGTCCTTGCTGCCATCTCGCCGTGTCGATCCCCTCAATCTACACCTAAGCGAAGCATGGCCTCTGGTTCCAGATCCCATGGCTGCAGATCCCGCGACCGAGGTAGCTGCTGAGCCTGCACCGAAGCTCCTTCGGCGGACAACACTCTCGTCGCCCCCCAGCTCAACCCCACGTTTGAGGCTATGACGGCCGCGGAACTCATCGCCCACCTGAATCACTCTCGCCGCCACATCCGACTTTGCTGACGCGGCGCTTGTGTTCGCCGCACGCGAGCACAGGCTCAACGAGACTGAGGCCCTTATCCACGCGAGCAACGAGCGTGTGGACAAGCTAAAGGGTGAGATCAAGGTGCATGAGTACAGCACCCTCGAGGCGAAGGCTTAGATCCACCGGACTGCCAAGACGGAGATGGGGCTGCGGGCCGAGATCCGTGCGCTGCAGCTCAGGGCCGCCGACGTCGAGGCGTGTGCACGGCATGCCTCTGGCATCAGCGGGTGTAGGCTCACGCAGCAGGCTGGTCATGGTCTTAGCAGCATCAAGGAGTCATATGGAGAAGAAGTGGATCATGACGTTTCAGAAGATGCCCTCGGAGCAAGGTACCAAATCTCCTGCTATTATTTGTACTCAGGTTGAGTTTTGTTGTTTCAGCCCGCTATAGCTTATATATGCCGTGACCTGTCGTGCGCGTCGCGTCGCCCTGCCTGCCCCACCCATGCCTCCTCCCCTGCCACCCCCAGCCAGATGCTGCCTCGCCACCGGCCACGCTGCCCACCTCCTGCACCCCTCGACCCCGCCCTTCACTAACCATAGGGCGGCGCGCTGGCATTGTCCTCATCCTCGCCCCCGCCCCTTGACCCTGCCCACCCTAATCCCAGGGCAGGGCACCGCTGAGCTCCGCCACAATGCCCTCGCCGCCAGCCCTGCCCAACCACCTTCCCCCGCCTCTACAAGCCGTGTCGCGGCCGCCGCCCCCAAAACCCCCAAATAAAAGTGATATCACTTCGGCATCATTTCATTATCACTATTGCTATGTACAATGCTATTTTAAATTTCCATTTCTTTTGTCCCCTTTAATATTAACTATAGATAATATACTTCATCCTTTAGTTTTTCTATATTTATCCCATCTTGTTATGTCTCATGAGACCTCATGTGTGTCTTTGTTTTTATCTTTTCATTTTTTTATCCCCTCTAAATATTATAGGTATAAATAATATGTTTCATCCTTTATTTTGCATTTTTTTTTTCATCCCATCTTGTTGTGTCCTTTGAGATACGCCATGAAATGGAATGAAAATCGATAGCTATGTAGAGTATTGTGTCCCCTTTACAAAGTATGCACTCCAACATTAGTTGTGTATCATGGAGATTAGCCAGATCAGTGATTAGAGATTGGTTTGTAGTTCGCCCAACATTAGTATTTGAAGATGGTTATATTTCAAATTATTTTGTATTTCATTTGAACTTCTATATCATAATTTGTCATAGTTTTTAGCTTAATCTTTGAATTTCAGGCTTATCGTGTTATTACTGCATGTGGTTTTACCGAAATGGAATATTGTTTACCGAATTGAAAATGGTTTTCCAGAATTGCACAAGAAAATTTTTTGTATGGCATACCCTATGCTCGAATCCTAGCTCCGTCACTGACTATTTGTTACACTGCCTTAGAGTCATAGAGGGCCGCAAGGTTCCAAATGAGGAGGCACAGGGAGCAGATGTGGCAGCGAGTCATCATAGACGTTGGCAAGGGGAACAGCCTGCAAGAGCCACCAAGAAGGCTTGCAGGCAGAAAGGGCCATCCTTCTACAAACTGGTTTTCGACACCCTCAAGGAGAAACAGGAGCTTCTCCTAAAAAAGGAGAATGAGAAGGCTGCCAGGGAAGCTGCTGCCACTGCATCCAAGCAGCTGGAATGCAGGTGCTGGTGGTCGGATTCTAATGACGGACTGAATGATTCTTAGTGGTATGATGCATTATATTGTTTTTTCCTATTATTATTTCAAAGCAAGGACTTATTAGCTAGTGCAAATCATTTGCATTAGCACTGCTTTCTTTCTCCTATATATGTTAGGATTATTACTTAATGTTTTTTTATTTTTTGAAAATTGAATATATATCTTAAAAGTAAAGCAAGGATTTAGTTCAACATGTATATTTTATCTTTTTCTAGAAATACATATATGTTAATGCTCTGAGGCAAGAGATCCAACATCGTTAGAATTAATGCAGTATGACATTGCCTACGTACCCCACGCGGCTATCAAATCACAGGCACCTACTCAACACATATATTTTTAAGACTCAATTTAAATTATGAACTTCCAATTTGAAAAGCTGGAACCCTGTTGTCAAATAAACTATAGCCAGATATATTATCCTAAGCGATGTTCTTTACTACAGCTGTTTATTTTCTACAATCAAAAGAATTATTTGGCATATCATATTGTTCTCACTTTATGTGTTGTTCACATACAGGTAACAGGCTACAAGAAGGGAGAAGAGAACCAGGGACCTGTTGGACTCGCTATGATAATCTTTTGGTGTGTCAATTGGTATGCTGCTGTTGTAACCGTGTAACAGCAAGCCTGCTACTGACCTGCTGTTGTTTATTTTCTCAGTCTAGTTGTTGCTCATTTATTTTGCTCCATTCTAGAAAACTGTATGGGTGAATGGAATCGTTCAATGGATGATGTTGTAAGCTGTGTATCATGGTCATGGACTCATGGTCGTGGTGGCTGAACAAAAACTCGAGTTCAGTAGTGGATCAATCAATTGATTATATTCTCCATCGTTAAATTTATATGTACCGTGTTTATTTCATTCTATAAGTATGCAAGTGATGTGTCATGGCCACCATGTACTGTATTTTTGTGCTTTGGCTCGCGAGCAAAACGAGCTAGCTCGAGCTTGCTAGTGAGCCGAGCTGAGCTAGTCTGCTGGCTCATTTGTATAACGAGCCAATCCATGCCAATACGTTAATGAGTGAGCCAAGCTATAACGAGTCGAGCTGGCTCGATGTCTAACCCTATATGTTGATGGTCCAAATTAATCTTATATTTTAATCTTGCAGTGTTTATTATATTCCTCTTAAATTAAATTTAGTATTTTATATATACTTCTTTATAACTACTCCATCCGTCTCGATATGGAATACACAGAGTATTATGACTTCTAAAATATGTAAATAAAGCATTCTATATGGTGTCCATGCTTAAATTAGCAAAGTTTGTTAAAAATGAAACCATAATTGAAGAAAAAAAAACTCCTTAATTGGATATAATTCAAGGGTACTGTCATCGGTTTGATCCCGTGGCAGTGATTAATGATCCAATCAATGGGTTGATGCATGTGACTTCAGTGATTTAGCACTCAAGGCACAAAGGATATATCCTGGTTCGAGCGTCTAAGCCTTACGTCCAGAGCCAATTTCTTCGTGTTAGAATGCTCAATCGAGTTCTTACAATAGGAGAGAGATGGTAGGAGAGCGCTAGCTGAGTGATCTAGGGTTTCTCAGATGATGTGGGGTTTGGAGGTTTCCTTGGCGTCCAAGGGGATTCTAGGGTTTTGTGTCCTAATCTTCGGTCGATGGCGTCATAGCTCATTGTTGGTCGTGGCCAACAACGCTGTACCGCTCCTTACATCCTCTGCCAGAACTTGGAGCTCAGGCCAAAGGAGCCGCCTGAGTGCGTCGTGGGGCCCTTTGTCAGTGGGCAAGGTGGGTTTCCACATTCGACCCACCTGTGGGCGCGGGGTCTACTGATAGTCCTTGATTTCCATTCCTTGCTGTTGAGTAGTCATTCACCGAGAACTGAGGGGATTGTGGGGGAAGGAATGGATATCACCAGCGAGGGTACGCAGTGTTCGGATTGTGGGGGGAGGAATGGGTATCTCCAGCGAGGGTACGCAGTGTTCGATACAACTCCAGTCGCCTAGGAACCCTAGGTGCCAAGACCTTCTTCGCTTCCTTTTTAGCTCCGCCACTATCTGTGCTACACTACCCGTTCATCACATCCTTTTATCATCGTGTATAAACATGTAACAGACATCAATCAGTGAAGCAACCGGTTGATTCTAGCATTCTTGTTTAATCTGTCTAAGTACATTAGACTCTAAACAGTTTTCAACCAGTCACATATTGCTTGGCACTCTGCTTTTGGTACAGCCAAAGAATTACCGATGACGATTTGCACGTTTAAATAAAACAAAATACCCCAACAGTTTCTCCAAGATGCCCCTGCCTCACATTGTATCAATGGACAATGTCCACAACATATCAAATTCAGTTTCCTTAGATAAAACGATAACACCAATAAGCATTAATACAAAGTTCATTTTTCTTTTTCAGGTGCCCTCATTTATGAAATGTGATAATCCTTGATGCTTACAGTAAGCCTCAGCGGCCGAGTTCATTACTTGATAATTCCAGTAAAAAAAACAAGAATCGAAATGCAGCTCCTTATAACATAATGGTACAAACAGGTAACCAGAAAAATGGTAGTGAACCAAGTTATAAGTAAAGAAAATAGTTTATCATAACTGACTTCTCGACGGTCATAGCATAGTTAACTACGGGGCTGACATGGGCCAAGCAGTGCCAGATTACAGGTCAGCTATCTTCACAAGCTTTGGATAGATTATGCGATTGTCCCTTGCAGAATTGCTCTCAACAAGAGCAATTTGAACCAAGTCCTGCAGATGGCAAACAGCACGCCACTGTTACAGTCATTACAAATTAATCATATGTTGAGCAACAAGCAGAATCATAATAAATGCTTTGTTGAGCACCCCATTGTTAGACAGTCATTACAAACTGAGGATATGTTAAGCAACAAATAGAATCATCCTAAATGCTTGTCTAGAAGAATCTATGTTTGGCAATTGTCAACAGACTTGGCTTTCAACAACCCCCTTAAACTACTGTTTGGTTTGATTTACTCCCTATTTCAGTTGATCCAATTTACCCCTTAAGAAGATTTGTATTTTTGTTTCTCCAAGTACAAGTTGAGTTCTAATTTCAAATATTGTAAGATGACAAACATCACATTTTATGCTAGGAATGATTACGATTTTTTCATCATGTTACAATTCTGTATCACTAGTGTTAATTTATTATTGCATTTCCTAACCTATCAAAATAGTGACGAAATGTTTGTGATGTATTTGGAACATAAATTATAATGTCCATCACCTCAAACTCAACTTGTGCATAGATAGAGAAACCAAAATAACACATCTTCCTTAGTAAATCGAACAATTGAAATAGTTGGAGAAGCAGGGGATGAGTAAATCGATCCAAACATCAGTTTAGGGATATATCTAGACATAGGCAAAACTTGGAGGGGGGTTAATTTAGACTATTTCCAATCAAATATCTCACCTTCACGTCCCTGCTTGATAAAAACTTCCCCAAGTTGTGAAGAATACATTTTAAATCGTCCACCTACAGTTGTGAAATAATGATAGTCAGTGACCACACGGATCAAAATAGTGGGATTGATTTTGAAATAATAGGTCATGCTCGCATAATACCTTGAGATATCCTGCTCTATTTATGTCAAAGTACCTAAAGGCCTATAAGATCAAGGCATTATTAACTGTCAGACCACAAACCAAATAGACCCTTAATGTTTCCCATGCATCAGAGAAAAACAAACATTACCTGCAATAGGTCCTTGTCGACCACCTCATCTTTTGCTGGCTTAACCTCCTTACTGACTACCTTTTCTCCACCTTCCACCGAATCTCCTTTCTCTGCCACGGACTGCTTTTCCTCTATTGAAGCAGCTCTTTCATGGATATTAGTAATATTTTCTACCTCAAGCTGTGTTGTACTTTTGTTATTTCCACCATCTGCTGTCGCTACTTCTTCTGGCTTCACCTCTCTGTCGTTTGTGTTCTCATTCTGTGCCACAAGAAAATGAGGTGCCACGGATAGATTAGGCATGGTTAGCTCTATGGAACTAGCTTTGTGTATCTCTTGCATAAAGTTGAAACTAAACATAAAAATAGTGAGATGATATTATATGTGAAACCACACAATATGACAATGCTACTTAGAAAAAACTAAAATGTAAGATTGGATAAAGGCAGTCTCAAGCACTATAGGGAGGAAGTAGGCTACTGGCCCAGATGACCTTGACAGTGTAGGTGATTGCCACTATATAAGCCCAAGACTTGATTAGAACAGCATGGTTAACTTCCATATGTCAAGGAAAAGAAACTTATAGTGGAATTTTAAGAAAACACAAGGTAATAAATGACAAGTCGGTTCAAATAATGAAGAGCTGAATCAACTAGGTCAAAAAAAATGCTGGAAAATAACCTGCTCTGCAATCTGTTCTTCAGCATGAGCATCATCCATGTCCTCATCATCTTCATATATTTCTATTTCTTCAGGATCTTCCTCGTATTCAGGATCTTCCTCCTCCATATTTGCATCAGCTGCAGGTTTATCAAGAACAGCCTCTGAATGATCAGTGCTCGTATTTTCATCGCCCTCTTTTGCTGGTTCACCATGGTTAGCAATTGGATGATCGGTGCCAAGTTTTATCTGACCCTCTTTTGACAGTTCAGCATGGACATTTGCTGATTGATCTGTGCTCATCCTTTCTTCACCCTCTTTTGTTATTTTAACACTGCCTCCTGGATTATCAACACTTTCAGTTATAGTCTCATGATTAGTCTTGGATCGCTTCTCCGAGGATTTCTTCTCTTCTTTCTTTAGATCTTCCTCTCTTTGGGCGTTTACGTTGATTCCTCTTCGCAACATAACGCCTGTACAGTTTCTCTGAAGGAAAAAGAACATGTGTGAAACATATCAATGTGCCAAAAGGCCCAAAACATACTGTGGATGAGCATGGTCACAAAGCGGGGTGGGTGGGGGGGGGGGGGGCATGAAAAATAGTGACAAAACCAGTGCATCTTGGGTCCTAAAACCTTCACCATATTAGACACACCACACCCAATTCATATTGCAAGAGTTATTCAATAAGTCCAAAATGTTTGCAGATTTGACACATACTGAAATAGTTTTAAGAGTCGCTGTCTTGAAAAAGAGCACCTTCAGTCTCACTTGTAGTGGTAAAGCACAGAATAGTTAACCCATGAACAAAGAATCAGAGAGCAGCCACTGAATTATCAAATACTAGTGAGCAGCTGATCATTCAGAAACAAAGCATAGAACCATTAGGTTTAGAAGGAATGCATGAAGAGGCTGAAGGGGACCACAGAACTGATGAATAACCACAGTACAATTAAGTCTCTGAGACAAGTCACTAGAATAATTACAAGAGGAGAGAATTATTTGAAGCTTAGCTAAATCATTTGCAAAGCACAAAGAATGTACCTCAAGAAAAGACAGGATAACACAACCCATTCTGTGTTGAAGCATTTCACCGAATGACTCAGCAAACAAAGAAAGCTGAAAAAGGAAAACAAGAACAGATCAGTGTACATCTACATGAGCTCTCAAACAAAAGAGATTTCATTGCTGCGCCATGCTCAATTGAACCAACTAGGTAGAAGCAAAAGATATAAATAAGTGGTAGTCTCTTTTGATATACTAACAAAAAGTAATTACAGAACACAGACCTCAAATACTGACTCCTCTATATCCTTGGCAGTATAGTCTAAGAGGCCATCCAACGAAAGGGATGTTGAACGGAGCTGCAAAACAGAATTCCTTAGATAAGATATCATGGACAATTCATCCGAGTATGTTTGGATAATAGGATTATATATATATATATATATATATATATATATATATATATATATATATATATATATATATATATATATATATATATATATATAAGGTTAAGTATGTAGCATGTTACCCATACTTTAGATTCTTTATTCCTTTTTGCCTGAAGAATGAATCCTGGATATTTTGGAGGTTCATCAGACCTCTTCTTTTCTTTTGTGTCATTGAGTGGCTTTTGCTTTGGATCCATCTTGAGGTCTTTATTCTTCTTCTCTTTATCGTCCTTTGTTTTATCCTTCTTTCCATCCTTTTTCGTATCTTTTTGTTCCATAGCTTCCTTGTGATTGCCCTTATCCTCATTTGAACTGCGATCAGTCAATGGGTGTTCCTTTTCCTCTGGCTTCTCTTCTTTCTTCTGATTTGAGATATCTTCTCCAGATGGAATTTTTGACCCTTCTTGCAGCTTAGTCTGAGGATTTCCAACATCGGTTGAGCTCTCAACATTTTTATCTGGCTGAACTTCTGTTTCTTGCTTACTAGTTTCAGCAGGTGTAGCAGGGGCAGTCAACTGAGAACATGAACCAGAAACTTTCCTTTTAACAATCCTTCGAATTATTTTCTTCTTTCCAGTTTTCTTTGCTTCGGGCTGTTGACTTATGCCAGCTCCCTCTTGTTCTTTTCCAGCATCCTCATTCTTTTGTTGACTCTGCCCCCCTTCTGCAGTTTTGTTTGCAGATTCTGCTACAGCATTCTTGTCCTCAGAAGAAGATTTATCAGCTGAAGGTCCAGTTGTTTTTTTCCGAACAACTTTCACAACCTTTTTTATTATTTTCTTTTTTGTGGGCTTTTTATCCCCAGCTGCATGGTCAATAGAGGAGTCACCCGTAGTTTTTCCTTCAACATCCCCACCCATCTTCTGAACAGGTTCCTCAACTTTAACCTTACCCTCTCCATCATTATCTTGTTGTTTCGTATCAGCATCACCTTTCTCATTTTTCATATCACTGCAACCAAGATCACCCTCTTTTAATTGATCAGCATCTAACCTTTTACCCTTGTTCAGCTCCCCTGAAATTGTTAACAAACGTCTTCAGTTTTTCTCTAATAACAGACAGGTAAAAAAAGAATTCCGTGAGATGCAACATGGAAATCTTGCAAACCTTGCATCTGCTCTTTTGAATCACCAGGGCTCTAAAACAAGCAACAAGGATAAAAAAAACTTTTAGTGAGAACTCCAGAGAGAGAGAAAAAGTTATTCACCAAATCAAAAGGCCATAATAGAGCAAAGTAACCTTTTCCTTTTTAGCAGTGAGCTGCTCCCTTTCTGCCTTTGATTTTTTGTACAGAATCCAGTTATTCTTCCATACATCCACTGAAGGCAGGCATTCCGACAAGTTTGGCACAAACAGAACAGTAATTTCTTTATGACTGAAGAGTCCATCTTTGCCTATTCTCTTGTAATGTACCTGCATGTTTAATGATGCATTCAGTTAATATTCCATCAACATGCAGTGAGAAGTGGAGGGACTACCAGATACATACAACTATACAAGTAATATACAGATGTACAATATCCCAACCAGTTGTAACCCACAGGCTACCAATTGTACTGAAATATGGATAGTGTGCCTATGTTACAGCTGAACTTCAGCAAAAACTCTAAAGAATTTGATATCAGGGATAGACAGAAGCAAAACTTCGAAAGAATATTGAATAGATCAAAAAATGCAAATTGGCTCAAATGTTAAGGCATGATTTGACTTGGCATGGCTTTGTAAGTTGATTTGACCAAAGATTTCTCGTGGTATTAGTCCCCAACTAGAAAATAATGATTATAAGTGCACAATGAAATAAAATTCGGGTGGTAGCACTTTCCTATTACTAAATCTTTATCTATACGTAATCTGATTGTTGGTCTAAACTTATACAAAGTTTAAAACTTGATATGCATCCACACCTCACAAATTTGACATACGGAGTAAAGTGTTGGTAATTGTATTGGCCAGTTTATTGTATTAGCAATAGTTTTCTTAATCCTGAATATTGAAGTGCCTGAACCGTGACTTGGGGCTCTTAGTGGGTTTCAACTCTAGTCTACCCCAACTTGCTTGGGACTGAAAGGCTATGCTGTTGTTGTTGTTGTTGTTGTTGTTGTTGTTGTTGTTGTTGAGGAACATTTCATAACCGTTCTTTTGGGTTAGACATTGTAATCGAACTTGCAACATTACAAAAGGCAGCAACATCATAAATAGGCTTGTTTCTCTTACTAAACAAAGGAACATACATTTCTTAAATTGAAAGAGATGGACAACAAAAAAGGGTAGCAGTGTCGGTACAGGATATTTTCCATGAAAGATAGCATCCAGTACATATAAAGTTTTTTTAAAGTGCTGAGAAATATTCACAAGTACCTCAACAAAACGGTTCCAGTGGGTGCAACTAGATAGATCAACCTGAACCATTTCCTTAACGCATCTGTCCAAGTAGGATAATATCAGTACAACTGCAAGTTCGTCATCATACCCTGTTTGATAACAGCATACCTGATGGCAGTTCGAATCAAGCAAGAACAGTCAACTGATGGGTCACCACCATCTACTGCTGCATTCCAAGGGCCTCCAATTGCAAAAAGAGAACGATCCTTCTTGAATACAGCAAATTTTAAGATATTGTTCAAGTGCACAACTCGTTCCTCGGTACTTCTCAGTGAAGTTATGTCAGCAAAGGCACCTTTGCTCAAGCCACTCATCAATAGTACCTGCACACCATCACATTTATAAGCAGCACTGCAACAGGATAATAACTTGGAAATGATTTCTATACTTCAAAAGTCATATAACAAAATTTGGTATTCCATATTGTGGTTATCATCCGAAAGTGAGATAAGCACAAGTAAGCATATCAATGCCAAAAAAGAATAGTATTTTAATGCCCTTGGGTAATTTAAGGCAGCACACAAAGTTATGCACTAATCTATTTGCACGCTGTATTGTTCTCAATTTCTACAAACATGAGTAGCAATACTGCTGTTTTCTCAAAACCATAAAATACTGCTGCAGTTTTCAAATACTGTGGTCTTTCAAATACAACATCCAAACAGGCCTGAAACTATATGCCATATATTTCCTTCAGATTCACTTATACCATGTACGACAGTATAATGAGTTACTCCAGATCAGCAATTTATCTACTGACCACAAGAGTTACAACTTGAAACATGTACAAAAAAAAATTCCTAAATTGAAGCAAATACAAAACTGTAGATAGAGACCTTTGCATTCCAAATGGTGGCTGGAGTATTGAAGCTTGATGTTTTCTCAGTAGAGACAATTGCTCCTTCATCAGTACCATCATCTGAATCAAGGATATCATGCTCCAAACTGTTTCACAGCAATTGTGACAGTGCAAATAGTAAATTGAAAACATGAGAACTCCAAGAAGGAACACATGTATAACAGTATTTATGCATAGTAATGTGTTCCCAAAAAAAGGCATACCTCACTGGCGTATGCAGAGGAAGATTTAAGTTTTCTTTAGCCCAGTTCAAGACAATCTGTGCAACAGCAAATTATTATACAAATTAGAGTGACAGAATGTCAAAAGCCATGTTAAATATTAATCAGAAGCAAAAGGTCAATGGACAGAATGCCCAACCTTAGAAAATTCTGGAGTAATTGCAAGTCTGGGATACCGTTTTGTCAAGGACAGATAATCCCTCTCATCATCCACGAAGCGAAATGGCAAAACCTGCAAATAACATCATAGTTAGCATTAAGTTCACAGCAGGATGCAAAATGAAACAACCCCATAACTGTACATAGAAAAGTGTCTTGGTGAAACATTAAATATAAAGGGAAAAGAGAACGGAAAAAGGAAGACAATCATTCATGGCTGCTCAATCATATACTCTTGTGCAATCAAAGATTAAGGTAAGGCGCAAACGCTTTTCAAATTTCGGTGGAGTCATGACATTCAATATCACAAGAAAAAGATAGCAAAGATTCTGTACCAGGGAGAGAGAAGCCTAATAGAATGGCAAAAGGAAGAACAGATGAAGATGGAAGATGGACCAGAACCAAGGAACCTTAAGATCAGAATGCATCAAGGAGGCTAGTGAAGAACTAACAATGTCAACTGATTTCAGCAATAACACTGACAGACACAGGTTTCTATTTACCTTGCAAATATATTCTCTCTTTATTTCTTTAACAGGTGAACGATGCCTTCAGCACAACAAATGAAAATGTTAGTTTAAAAAGCTGCACGAAAGACGAAGCAGCAACCTATTTCATCCACAAAGCTGCATAAGAAACATGGAAGTCCACCTATGCACAGCATCACGTCGAGGGGAAATTCGCCGCACAGGCTTCTCAGATCTAACAGAAGAAGAGCGCCGCTGATCACCAGGGCCTCTAGGTGAAGTGAGCTCCCGCCTTGGATCAGCTCCATGCTTCCTATCCCGCTCTCTCTCCTTCTCCCGGCGCTCACGAAGGCGTTCTCTTTCACGCTCTCTTTCACGTTCGCGTTCCCTTTCTCTTTCGCGTTCTCTTAGTAGTCTTTCATGATCCCTTTCCCTTTCACGTTCTCTTTCTCTTTCTCTTTCATGGTCTCGAAAGTCCCGTAACTCGCGCTCCCGCTCCCGTTCGCGTTCCCATTCAAGCTCCTTTTCTCGTTCCAGCAGTAGGTCCCTTCTACGTTCTTCATCTCTTAGATCCAGTTCACGACGATAACCAATCCGATCAACTCTACGATCATCAACCATTGAGACGCCTGGATGTACACGGGGTAAGATGCTATCTCGGTAATCAGGATCTGAAGATGGATGGAGGAGGCCTTTCCCCGAGGCATAATCACGTCCAGGAGGAAGACCTGCGCCATAACCAGTACTTGATGAACCTTGTCCATAGAGGCTGTCAATGTTTGTCCTTGGAGCTCCTTCCAACAATGAGGCTGCTTGCTGTCTTCCATATGGAGCAGTCCCAAGAATGGACATGTTGCGATTATCAGCTTCAACTCTTCCATATACACCAATTTCCTGGGATGCTTGATGGACTGGAGCAGACCTTCCTGCAAAGTAATCGGCTTGTCTGCCAGAAATGCATACTATACTCAGTGCATGCGCTATGTTCTATTGCAGTGATAAACACACAAATGATTGCTACTGATTTCTTCCAAGAAAATCAATGAGAAGTACCAAGACAACTAACGGAAACAAAGACTACGGCAGAAATTGTTTAGCAAACACATGGTCATTCAATTGATGCACTGTTATATCATGTGTTACAGAATTCTAACAATAATCAACAACATTCTAGATTCATTGCATATAACCTGACTGAGATAGTGTACCTCGTATCAGATCCAGGCTGCAGCTGACCTTTCAGGAGCTGCTGGTGCCGCATCGATGAACCCTAGGAAATTAACAGGATTCAATAGACATGTTATTAGAAAGAACAAAACAGCATTCTGTAAGTAGGGAAACAAAAATCTACCTGCTCCATATGATCATGAACCTGAGAAAAAACAAAAGGGTTACAACAGTGCACTGATTATTTATACAATCTAGAGAAAGGCAAAAAGAAAAACAGAGAGAGAAAGAAACCTGATGACCAGTAGCTATCTGATCGGTGTATCTTCTATCCAAATCACTGAGGCCATCTCTCCTACCAAGATTGGCTGAGTGTTCGCCATACATCCTTCTCTCTAGTGGATAATCAGTGACATATTGGTCTAGCTTCTGTGCATAACCACGCACAGCCATATAGTCATCATTTGGTCTTGCCAGGCCAGACACCACAGGTGCAGATGAGAACTTGGATGACTCAGCGAGCGAAGTTGGACGAGTTGGCAAGCTAGGAAGACTTGAAGAAGCTGGACCTTTGCCACCAATTCCACCAACCTGTTGAAAAGAATGAGGATGTTCAGTTGAGATACTTGGCAACAAAATTGTGGGAACCACATGCAACTGCAACAGTATAGTTAAAGGTCATGAGAAATGAACTCTAACCATAAGAGGAAGTGACTGAAACAGCTGAAACATGTGATTGGCAGGGATTGACATGAGCAAAAGGTCGCTTGAGTGACTAAAACAGGGGCTAAACACAGCTCAAATAACAGAAGTGTACATGAATGGTTGGCACAAAGGGCGTGTTTGGTTCCCGCCTGAGCCGCTGCTGCCGCAAGTGTGGCCACACCGTGAGTGCGGCGGACAAAACGGCCGCCCGACTATTGGCGAGCTGGGGCGCGCGTTTTGAACTGCAGGCTGCGGCGTGCACCAAACCTGCGGCAAAGTGTGGCGGCAGCGTTTGGCTCCCGCGGCGTGCCGCATGTGCGGCGCGGCGGCCTGCGGCGTGGTTTGGAAGCCATCCAAACACGCCCAAATTCCTTCATAGGCTCATAGCAGACACTACTCATGGTACGAACTTAGTATTATATGCTTTTAAATAGCCAGTTATATAGATTTAAAATGCAAAATGCAAAATGCAAAAAGCTTAGCAGTTTGGGAGTCTATAACTTGACGTAAAATGCTAGCTGGAGGTGATGACATAGCTTAGCATGTTTTGTACAGGGGAACCTAATAAATGGATTTTTTGTTAACCAACTTCTCTTTCTACAAGTATTTCTTGTTCCAAAAAGTGTAGGATCTGATACACATTTTTTTGCTTAAATTGTTGCACAAACTGTTCTAAAATTATCGGTTAGTGGAATTGATGGACAGTTGTTTTGCATAATCCGAACAGAAGATGACCTTTTCCACCTACTCCCTCCGTCTTAATATACAAGGGGCAACTCCCCTATACACACAGACCAAGGAATGGAGTTAATCCAAACACCACGTCAATTAATCAAAGCACTAAATGATTTGGCACCGGTGTATATAGAGTACTACAGTGCAGGGGCAGGCCAAAATAGAGCTGAGCATTAAATTTTGCACAGGTACATGGGCACCAAAGGGAGTCAGAAGGACGACGCGCCCTCTATTATGGGACTTCAAATAAAAACAGTTACCCCTTATATGTGGAGACAGAGGGAGTAACTTCCAAAAAAGAAAATTTCATTAAGCCCTTCATTCTTGTGTTTCAAATTGCAACTTTAAACGATAAGACGAGCATATATTAGAAATATAAATCGAGCTTTTATAATTCAGATTAGCAAGGATAGCCAAGCACACATAGAAATTCTGCCAGCAATACTTCACAAATATTTAATTGACTAGACTGGAATCAGCAATTCTATCCCAAATGTCCATGTTAATCCATCAGATTTTCTAGTGCCAAAAACAATGCAACTTTGTAACATTTTGACCCTATGACTACAAACAAAAGTATCGGACTAGCAGCTACTCCCTCCATTACAAATTATAAGACGTTTTGGCTTTTCTAGATACATTGCTTTTACTATGTATGTAGACACAGTAAAGGGGGCAGACCCAGTGCCGGAGGCTCCCACATGAGTGGGGTCTGGGGAAGGGATAAACCGAGACAAGCCTTTCCCCCGCAAAATTTGCGGAGAGGCTGCTTCGAACCCACGACCTGGTGACTCAGTGAGACAGCTCTCACCACTGCACCAGGCCTGCCCTTCATGTATGTAGACACAGTGTGCGTAGCAAAAATTATGTATCTAGAAAAGCTAAAACGCCTTATAATTTGGAATTGAGGGAGTAATAAACTTCAATAGTTTCCTTGAATCAAGGTTCCTCACTGATGCACACAACACAAAAAAACTCACAAAAATCAAGCTACACGACACGTGCGCCAATCATATTAATGGTTGAGGATCAACACCAACGGATAATAAATTGCGTGCTGGATTGCAGATTTCATCTAGAAAAGAACAAAGCAGTTATAGTTAAACACCTGTTGCGTGCCATACACTGATGCATAAGGCCCTCCATACTGCGCAGCAGCCCCTTGTCCTGCACGCGCACCAAACCGACCAGCATCAGTGCCACCTGCCGCTGTAGGGGCTGCAAATCCAGTGCTACTAGGCTGAAAAAGAGAGAACATTCCAGCCAAAGCGGCAGGAACACAAATGATTATTAATAACGAATCAGCGTCCAGCAACAAAAGAAAGCAGCCAGATCCTTCACAGAGCCTTACGATTTGGCCGTACGGCTGCTGCCCGCCATAAGGCGGCTGCTGGCCGTAGTGATTGGGCCCTTTGGGAGGAAACATGGCGGTCGCGCCCACCTAGGGGCTCCTGCACGGGAACGAGACCCGGACGAAACAATCCACGCGCACGAACAAGCGCCTGCGAGGAAAGAAGGAAACCCTAGATGTTTTAGCACCAAAAATAAACGAGACTACAACGAGTCCAACCCAATACAGCCACCGTATCCGCAGATTCGATCCGCTGCCCGATGCATGGGCTAGGGTTTACCCGCGAGATGGCAGTGGAGGCCAGATGGCGTCGGATGGAAGTGAATCCCCCGTAGGCCACGGCTTCAGGACAGTGCCGGACCGCCGGCCGGAGCCCGGAGGCAACGGTTGGCAGCGGAAGAGCGGCGAGGGTTGGCGGCGGGCGGCGGAAGGGTTTCGGCGAGGGGTTCGGAGAGCGCGAGATAGGGGTGTAGCCTGTTGCGCCTGTACGACCAAGATGCTCCGTTATTATTATTTTGCTCGATTTTGCAAAAGCTACGTATATATTGTAAATTCGACGATTCTAGGCCCCTCCGATGGGCTCATCGTGGGCTCGCATACTCCCATCTTACTTAGGCCACGTTTAGTTTCCCCGTTTTATAGAATTTTACACCATATAAAAAGAAGATTTCTCGTCATATTAAATTTACGGTATATGCATTGAGTGCTAAATATTGACAAAATCAAAAACTAATTACACAGTTTGGTTATACTTTACGAGACGAACATTTTAAGCCTAATTAATCAACGATTGGACAATTATTACCAAATAAAAACAAAACGATAATGTAGCTACAGCGATTCGGCCGACGTCAAATCGGCCGAACTAAACGCGGCCTTAAATGAACCTCGAACCTACTATCTATCCTCAATTTAAGCAGCGAAGGTTTAAAAAACACATAAAGCTACCTATCATACTACATAAATTTATTAGTTTAATAAACTAGGTAGCCTATCCGTGCGTTGGTACAGGATAGCTAATATTTTGTACTTAAAAACATACGGATCATACGATAAGATAACAATACTGTAAAAATTAAATACTAACGTTAAAGTGATATTTAATTCAAAAAGCAAAGTTTATGAATTTAACATAGTCACGAAGTACGCGGCGTCGCAGGCTCACAAACTCTACTTTATAAACCTTTACGTGGCTAAGATAATATTTTATATTGACAGAAAGAAATATCCGATATCCATTTCTTTTGTGCTCACAAACTAATGACCCTGGTACACCAAAGGAAAATACAAATGAGCTATCCTCCTGAATGTGCGGAACCAACGCCACTACGATCGTGCCATTCCACGATCACTGGTATGGTGTTGTTTGGCATTATTGTTCATTATTATCGCTAACTTGTTTCGTTGGTTTTATTCAAGTAATTTATGTTTGTAATTATGTAGGTGCTAATTCGGTTGATCCCACATTGTCAGAAAAGTGGGGAAAGTCGATAAAACTCATGGTTTTGAGAACATACACGTGTAATAGTTATGAATGGTTACAAAACAAAATATTATGAACAAAACACTCAAAGTGTTATTTTTATAACAATAATATAACACATGTTCAATTTTCATTATGCCATCACACAAGTGTATATACAACATCTCCGTGTAGAGTCTAATAAACCATTTAAAAATACCTAGAAACATGAACAATATATGGTATTAGTGAGATATTATTTATACAATATAAATTGAATGGAAACAAAATACATTGTATACGTTAGTAATGTTCTGTTACCTCGTCTATGGCATTAGAACCTCCTTAAATACAATATTCAACGTGAAAGTTCCATTCGCTATTGGGGTCTTCTTATCCTTATCTTTTTTATTTGACACATTCTTATTTTTTCCCTTGATATTCTTTTTAGCATTTTTCTTCTCTATTTTTTTGGTCTCCTCCTCTTGTGCCTCAGCATTAGGCGAGAGGGCAAGGATCTTAATATTGGTTCTTGACGTGGCTCCAGACATCGCAACATACAACTGACCGTGAGAGAACACCGGTGCGGGTAGGTACACACCCACGTTCGGGATAGTTTGGCCCTGTGACTTGTTGACCGTCATGGCAAAGTTCAGCCTGATAGGAAACTGCTTCCTCTTAAACTAGAACGGGAACATCTCGTCATTAGACGGGCATAGCGGTATTCGAGGAAGGAATACCCGCTTCCCAGCATGCTGTCCCACCACAATTTCCGCGTCGATTGTATTTCTTCAGAACCCCCGCACCACCAGCCTTGTACCGTTGCATAGCCCATTGGCAGGGTCAATATTCCTAAGCAATATCACAGGACACCCGAGCTTGAGCTTCAAGACGTGTGGAGGCAGCCCGTTGGAGATCAAACTGTTAAGGAACTCCGATGGATAGTAGTTATGTGGATCATCTATCGCGGAGTCAAAACTGTGATACACCGTCTCGCCGCCCTGGAACATATCAATCATTTTTATATTGATCATGTCCACCAAATCGTTACGTGTAGATAAAATCGCTCCGGTGGTGATGTAGTCTTTGTCCGCTATGTTTGCATTTAGATCTGGAAAGATAATGTCGATCAATGTATGAAAATCTTTCTCGGCATTCAGCGATCTATGTGTTTGCATTCAAAGATCATAGACTTTAGAATTAGGTAGGTGGCTTGCAACACAAGTGTAGTGCTAGCGTAAAATTCGCTTCGCCGTCTTATTTACTAATCACTTGTCTTAGTGTTGTTGTAAAATTTTTAATAGGCTATTCACCCCCCTCTAGCCATTATGACCTTTTATCACTGCGGCCACATACTGCAAGTTAAATAGAGTTTGCCAGGCATACATATCACTGGTGCGTCTTTACACCACTTTTCAACAGGTCTAGAATCAATCATGATAAGAATCTTCTTCTGCTGGTCGAAAACGTAAAGCATATACTTTTCAACATGTAGCCATGGCAAAAGAAACTGCAAACATAGTAGCGATTAGAATATTATATAGGAAACAAATAATAAAAGCAGGAACAAATGACTTACGTATCTACACTATGATTGGCTTCTACTTTGAGATGTGTGTTCGTTAATAGTTTTACTATATTTTGTTCGTGTGATTTATGCGCTGCCACCCAAATCTTTTGTCGTTGGCTTCTACTTTGGGACGTGTGTTCAATGGTATGAGCCTTCTTCTGTTTTTCACAGATAAAGATGTTGAAATTGGTTGGCTTGATTACATCTTATCCATCGATATAGGATTCCTTTTTCCAGCCCTTGGCTTTTGCTTTCATTTAAATATGCATTCACAGTTCCCTCATAATAGTTTCCAAGAGATATGCCAATAGATCAACAAGGCATAAAAAAGGGAGAAAGAAAAATGTGCCATAACTATATAAAAATGTGCCACCGATATCGGCTTCAACCTCTGAGACTGTATTCTCTGATCAGTTTCTTCAATCTCAGCACCTTGCTCATTTGACTCCTTCAGTTCAGCATGCAAGGATACAATCTTTTACATGAATTAAGAAAAATAATGCACAGTATTTGAGGATATGGTCAGGGATTTTTTTCATGTCGTACGAGTGTTGCTTTCAAATCAGCCAGTGCAGTTTTGTGGCAGTGAGGGACCATCATCCTTGACTCAGCTAAAACATTATCCTGCAAAGGTGAAGTTCATGTTTCAGACTTGTGACTTCTAACATCATAACAGCAGACAATTTGTCTTTTTAGTTTTCACAATCTCAGTTACATGAAAAGGAGAAAACCACTTCAGTGGCTTCATGTAGTGCCTGACAAATGCAATGCATCTGAAAAATGAGAAATTGGTTTACTGCTAGGACAAAACAGCAACGCGATGATCAACAAGTTACTCCTATCCTTGCAGCCTCAAGTACTCAGATCAGATGCTCATGTATTTTTATCAGAATATAATTTTCAGTGACAATACATTAAGAAAGTACCTCCTCTCAATGGAAGAAATGAGAAAACGCAGTCTACTGCAAATGGAGAGAATCACTTGAACTAAACAATATGGAGGGACGAGCTGATTCAAGTATTCAACACCCGGCCACAAGTTCCAGTATATGAGCAGAGCAGTTTACTATATTGAAAAAAAATGAACACATGTTAGATCTGATCTTAGAATGATCCCAAGTTTTAAGCTGAACAAAATGACACACATATCAATACGAAGCTGTATAAAGAAAGTGTAACTGTCTCCAAAAGCAACAACCGAAACAAAATCTCAACTGAATAAATCTAATAGATAATCCATTTTTCGTTTCTCCATTTCTAGCTGCTTCCCTCATCGACGACAGACAAATTACAAGTTGCATTCTTCTCCTCGGCATGGAAGTTCCAAGATGTCATCCCCATTATTTTATATGTATTTTAGTTAAGATACAAGAAAAAAAATCATAACACACAACAAAAAAGAATATTAAGCCCTCCCTGTCCTTGCTTTCGAAGGTGTTAAAATCATATTATTAAGAAATAAAAACTGTGCAGGCAGATGCTAGCTCATGAATACAATTTTCTATACTCTAAAAGAGCAGAAAAAAATGTACTGCAATTTAGCATATGAAGAAGAAAACGTTCGATGTATTTCTTGTGCAATGATAAATCACTGACAGTTTCCATGACAATCAAGTTTAGGCTTCAGTAAGGATGTATGGCTGCTGCTACTTAACAAAAATTGGGATTGTTTCATTTAGTGCACTGAGCAAAGAGATTATTGGTTGTTCTTGTTAAGCAGTGCAGGAATAGCCAACTTCATGTGTTTTCGGTAACACATTCTTTCCCAGCCTATAGCCACCGGAAAGGAACTTATTTAGTCACGGTACAATAAATACTAAAGAGTGGACAGACGGTGAAACGAATCAATGGCTTTGTGGCACTTGAAAGGGATTCTATTGTGCGTGAAGTTACACATCAAAGTCAAGACAAATGCACACTATTATCTTGCAATACTCAATTCTCTAATCTCCGAGCAAAAGTGCTCTGCTAATGTTTAAACCTTATAATGCATTGGTGATGGTCTCTAATTAGAGTTTCTATATGCAAGCGCCCACATAGAGA